TGCTTCTATATATACTATCTAACTAGGAGCTACATGACAATGTTCTATATGACCTCTAATATGTGTTGACTTTGTAAGACACATGCCTTAGCTTACAAGGCAAATTTTTTATGTATAGGCCATGTAGTTAGCTTGTTCTTCAAGCTATCAACAAGTGTGGCACATGGCCAATTTATTGACCACGTTTCTAACCTAAAAAATCAATTATAGACACCTGTAATGTCAAAACAGTGTCTATAAAGCTTCTAAGAAGCTTCTATAGAAGATATTATAGAATTAATATATGTTTATGTATTTTTATTTTATTAAATAGGTAATTATTGATTTATATATATATGTCTATGATATTATCCCTCCTTCAAAGGACAAGTTCTATGAGGAGCAGTCATCATATGTTGAGAAAATCCAAGATGTGGCAAATTATATTTGTTACATACTCTAAACTTTGATTTCTTCAAAGATGGTTGATAGGGCCTTTCAATTATAGAAGACCATTCAATTATTTTATCATTGTTGGAGCCTTCATAACTTCCTTCAAATAAAAAATTTAGAATACTATCAAGAGTTGTTCCTATCTCTAGTAAAATCTCCAAACATTGGGAGTTCCTTCCAAGGTCAGGATATCAAATGCATTTTATCTCACTATCTATTCAAAGAACATATCATTCTTGAGGATCCTCATCTCGATTGCACCATCTTGAAGGTTAATACAATCACAATGTTTCATTTGGCAATTCAGCAAATAAGAGCTCTTAAATCAAATCCATTGATTGTTGATTCTCTATTTTTTTAATGTCACAAATATACAAAAACTACAAACAAAGATAAAAGATAGAATGTAATGTTCCATGGACCTTATTTCGTTTATAGCAAAGAATTTCTATTCTTGATTTTAGTTTTGATAGATGTCATCGATGAAAAGCCTCCACTGTCTTTGTTGTATTTTTAAGTTTTTTTTTGGCTCTCATGTGCATTCACTAATATCATATCCGCGCTAGTGGACAAGTTATTCCAATTTATTTTGGCATTGCCTTGAGTCTAAAATTTCTTATATTTCAAACTCTTCATTATTATCTACTTCTATTAGAGGATGTGGAACTTGTCTTTTTAATATGTTTTTAGTCTTGTATGATTCAAAAAAAGATACATAGAAGGCATGATGGATCTTCATTGACTTTGGTAGGTGTAATCAATAAGCAATTGAATTGATTTGTCTAAAAATAGGAAAAGGTCCAAACCTATGACAGTCCAACTTATCACAAAGACAAGTAATCTTGATATTATGATGAAGTAATCATACCTTGTCACTTACATTGAATTGTGGTTGTTCCTTTTGATATGCATCCACGTTGATCTTTTGTCGTTCTTGAGCTTCCTTTAATGGCACCTTCATTATTGTATGTAGCTGTGACAAACGATTTGTCAACCTTTTTGGCATAGGATTATTAACTTTTGAAAAGTCGAAAATATCAAGTCGTAGATGATAACCATAATTAGCAAAGAAAGATGCTTATTACATAGAAAAATGCATTGTATTATTATAAGTAAACTCTGCCAATGGCAAGAGAGTTCTGCAATCTTCTTGTTAATAATTGATAGTACACCTTAACTGTTACTCCAAAATTTAGTTTATGCATTTTATTTGTTCATTAATTTGAGGATGAAAGGCTAAAGAAAGCTTTATGTCCATCTTTAGAATCTTCAAAAAGAATTCTTCAAAATCTTGATATAAATTGAATCCCACTATCTGATATAATATCTTTTTGGCAATCCATGAGATTGATAGATATTGTCAAAGAAAAGCTTTCCAATTTCTTCACCTGTGATAGATTTTGTGCATGGTACAAAATGTGCCATTTTGATAAAATGATCTACTATCACAAATATAGAATCACACAATCTTGAGATTGAAAGATTCATAATAAAATCTATAGAAATGAAAGACCATGATTTTTCTAAAATAGATAATAGCTGAAAAAGTCCATAAGATTGATGCGAAGGAATTTTTGACCTTGAAAAAATATCACATGATTGAATAAAGTCTTTTATAGCCTTCTATATTTACAGCCACTAAAAATCTTTAGATATTAGCTCCAAAGACTTATTATACCTAAAATGTCCTGTTGCTGGAAAGTCATGATGTATTTGAAGAACACGTAAACATGCTTCTCCTTTTAGCATATGTAGGCATCCTTCAAAATAAAGTAGGTTGTTCTTGAATTCAAACTTACAAGTATCACAAGACTTAGAAGAAGTATTCTTGATATCATGAATAAGAGGATCAAATGATATACTTGATTGAATTTGTTTGAAAAAAGTTGAATCAATAGTTAATGTTGATTTCACTGCTCAAAGATAAAATTGTCCTCGTTTCAATAAAATTATCCTTTGTTAATCAAAAGCTGCATTTCTTTCTTTATATACAAGATAAGAACATCTAGAAAAGACATCAAATAAACTTTGTTTTTTTTATTGGTGGATAAGTGATATTGAATTAAAATCTTGACATAGACATACTCCAACGAGCCTAGCATCGATTCAAAATATGAGCTAACATGAAATACTCAAGATTCTTGTGATTTATAAATATGATGACTGAATTGAAAGGGCCTTCTAAATAATGATATCATTCTTGAAAAGAATCCACAATTGCAAAAAGTTCTTTGTCATTGATCTCATAATTAATCTCAACCACTAAAAATTTCCTAGAATGAAAAGCTACTTAGTGAAGTTTATCATCTATTTCTATTTGTGATAATACGTCATCCAAAGCAAAGTTTGATGCCTCCATTTTCATAAAGAATTCCTTAGAGAAGTCAATGCAATACAAGATTGGTGCGAAAACAAAAGTTGACTTTAAAGCTTTAAATATTACTTCTACTTCTTGATTCCATTGAAGTTTGTCTTTATAAGTCAAATGTATAAATGGAGTTGCAATTTAAGAGAAGTCCTTGATGAAGATCCGATAATAGTTGGCAAATTCTAAAAAACATTGGACATCTCAGACCATTTTTGAGATCTTTCAATTCATAATTATTTGAACTTTCTTAGGATCCATCATAAGTCCATCGTTTGAAATGATGTAACCTAAGAAGTCAACTTGAATAGTGTAAAATACGTGCTTCTCTATTTTGGCATAGAATCTCACATCTCTTAATTTTTGTAACACAAGACAAACATGAAGTTCATATTCTTCTATGTTCTTAGAATAGATCAAGATGTCATTTAGATAGCAGACAATAAAATCATCCAAAAACTCTCAAAAAAATATCATTCATAAGATGTTGAAAAGCTGCTAATACATTTGTAAGTCTAAAAGGCATGACATTATATTCAAAATGTCCATACTTGATTCGAAATGCAGTCTTCCATTCATCCCCTTCTTTGATGCATACCAAATTATATGCTTTTCATAGATCTATTTTTATATAGATCTTAACTTAATTCAATTGATTAAGGAGTCTAGATATTAAAGGTAGTGGGTACGTGTTTTTGATGGTGATCTTGTTGAGACTTCGATAATCAAAACACATCTGCAATGATCCATCTTTTTTCTTTACAAATAGAATTGGAATTCTAACTAGAGATTTGGAATGGCATATGAAGTTCTTGGCTAGATTTTCTTCAATATATTCCTTGAGTTTGTCTAATTTATTTTGTAATAAATTGTAAATTGGTCCAAATAGCAATTGTGATCCTTCTTAAAGATCAATTGAGCACATATAAGGACAATGTTCTAGAAGAGTATCCACATTCTTTTTCTAAAATACATTTTGAAATTCTTGATATTGGCTTGGAATGCCACTTGAAGGCTTTGTATCATTAGAAAATGGTATAGCATAAATGACACAAGGTGATCGTTCTTTTCTAACATGCAAGAAAGCTCTCTCATCTACAAACATAGGTTTAATTGTACTAGACTTGTGATTTTGTACTTGATTAACTACACTCTTAGTTATACTTTTTAAAAAGTCGAGAGTACGAGAAATCCAATATACTCAAGGGTTGTATTTTTCTAACCACAATAAGCCTAAAATGATTGGATTAGAGCGAGATCTAATGATATTAAATACCACAAAGTTATTATGACCATTGATTATTACTTCTATAAGAAGGATTTTGTAAGTAACATCTCTAGAAGATAATGGACGACCATCTGACTTCTACATAAACACGTTTAGTTTTTCTTACTAAAGATATGCTAAGTCTTACAGCAAACTGTTCATCTAAGAAATAATTACAATCTTTAAAATTGTGGTATCAAATTCTTCTAGATTAGTTAATGCCAAATTAGACCACTTGTGTCTTTTGAAAAATACTCTTTTTATTTTTTTTTTTCCCTTGAGTTTTGCTTACTATGTCTAAAACATATATGAGTTTTTAGAACCAACAAGCACATTTTAGCATTCTTATTTAGAATCTATGCCACTTCTCTTTTTTGGTTATTGATTGCTTGGTGAATGTGAATTTGTAGATTGCAACTTGGCTTATAGTTACTAATTATGGATATTTTAAATTATAAATGATTACAATAAAATCTTGTAAAATAATATAAAATGATAAATTAAGTAATAGAAAAATATAATAATATCAATCAAAGACTGATTATAGATTGAAATTTAATACATTTATTGCACAATTAAAATATGATAAGTCATATTAAGTGAAAGGATGTTATGTCCTCATGACATGAAGAATGTCCTCTCAGAAATATGGAGATGAGGAAAGGATTTAAACAATTTCAATTCTTTCCTCATTGAAACAATTGAAACTGTGTCAACAGTTCCCTAAATTGAGCAAATGTTCAAAGGTCAACCTCAAAGTATGTCATTCAAATGAATGAAAGATGCAAAAATAGCATGATAGGAGGTACAGTGTCAATAAAGACAATATAATTTCGAATATGTCCCTCTTGTGCATGTGTGAAAGAGGTGATGCAAGGCTGCTCAGTGCTGTGAACTTTAATAGCTAGGCCTCACCAATCATAGGTATACAAGATGGCAAGAGAAAAAAAATTGACTTTACTGGCAGCCTGCAATGGCTTGTCCTTCACAATTGAAAGACTGCTGGAAGACAAGATTGACAAGATAATTTTTCAAATTATTATCAACAGCTAAGAATTTATCTCAGAATTCTATTAATTAAAGGAATGATATTGAGCCACTTCAGCATCAATGTAGCATCATGTCCTATTGGATGTTGACTTTATGGGTCACATGTGCATGACGATGAATAATAACTTGAAAGTCGAATGAACTCGATTATAAAGTAGTCTCGACTAGTTTCTGTAAAAGCTGACAATGACTACATGAATTCAAGCCAGTATTCAGCTTGAAACTCGAGTGTCAACGGTGTACAGAAGGATCACGCAAAATATGAAGCCGATGAAGTCAAATCAGAAAGAACCTACAAAATTGCAAGAGTTTAGGTTTAGAAATCTTATCAAAACTATATTCACAACCAAGATGATGTTCACAACAAAATCCTTACGTTCAAATAACAGGTGTCATCGTGGAAGCAAAAACCTGCTATCCCTTGGCAAAACAAAGTCTAAGATCTCCGTGCATGTACTCTTCAACTCAACATTGTTAGCTGCATAGTAGAGATCCACGCTGGTTTGGACATACCTCTAGCTGGTCATCACTGAAAGCAGCTTTTTGAAAACTCCAAGTGTCCGAGTGTGTACGTCGGAATTCAGCGATAGTCTTGGACACAGTGCTACGAACTGGTGCCGGTTCACGACTAAATGCAACTAGTTGTGTGACCATCTCTGGTAACCAACTGAGAAACAAGCAAAGAAGAATTTCAGTTCTTAACATTCCATATCATCTCAAACACTTGAATTCTTCAAATACGAGAATTGACTACAAATCTTGACAACAAAAGACAGACAATACCCACCTGGGCATATCATATGGAACAGACAATATACATGCTGCAAGGCCCAAGACAATTCTATGGAGAGCATTGATGCTCAAGCCAGTTTCACCTACTCCTCGTTTTCTGCAAACGCGTACCCTTATGTGAGTTTCAAAGGGTTAAAGAAATAGTTGAGCCATACAAATAACACAGTTCTGGGAAAAGATCGAGATGATTATTCAAAACACGTAGGCTACTATCAACTTAAAGTTTGACCTGCAGTTTAAAAATAAAGAAAAAATAAGTTTTTATCAAAGGCATGCTTCTAGTAAAAGAAAGTGCCTAAATCGATTACCTGGGCTTTTTCCCTCCAGGTGAACCTTGAAGGCTAGATACGGTACTCGTGACTTGCTCACGGAAGGCCTTGGCCTGCTTGCTATCTGTTCCTTTGAGCATGCCTGATAGGGTTGTTGCTGCTGACTCCCTCACCTGTTCAACCCGACGTAAGTAACTGCGTAAACAAGAAGCCTATCATGCATTAGAGACCTTGATATGAACCATTTTAAACATTAAGTACCTCAAGTTGCGGATCCGAGAGTAAATCCTGAACTTGTCTCCACAAGGCCTCCGTTGCATCACCTCCCAAGATGAAAGTATGCCTGCATGGATAGAAGCATGGCGATTTCATTGGGACCAGAAGTTACTGAGGAACTATTCATTCTATAGTATTATATGCACCAGGAAGTAGAAAAAAATTACTCGTCATGTAAACTTCGATGTTTCTGGACATATGAGAAAAATGAAACCACAAAAACCAGACTACTGACCGATGAATGCTCGATAAATAACGAACCATTCTGGTAACAACAAGGTCAACGTCGATACCTGTAGACCAGAGATTGTAGGAAAGTCAAAGCGGAAACACGAGTATGCCAGTTCGCATCCGTTGCAGCGCCAAGTACCGCTATCACAGCACCATCTATATGGTCAATGTCAAATGGTGCTGCGGAATTCAATAGTTGCAACGCCCTCTTCGCCAGACTAGACAGCTCCTTATCTGAACATTCCTGTACCTCAAAAAGACGACCACTATTCACAACCTCATCCAAAAGCAAAATGGGTTTAACAAAAACAACAGATAAAAAAATGTAACTCATTGCGCAGAACTTTATTTGAAACTATTATTCTTCGCTTGAAATACTGGTCACCATTAAAAACTGGTACACTGAATTCTTCTCCCAAGCTCTGAAATGTAACCTACGAATATGTAGGTGTATATGCAGCTAAGATGGGCGAAGCCTGTCTTATTACCTGTATGGAGAGAATTGGTCGAAGAAGTCCAACGATGATGCCGTTGAGTGGAACTGCTCTGCCCGACTTCAGACTAGCAATCACAAAGTAGAGAGTCTGGTTTGTTGCCATGTAAAAGTATGATCAGTACAAGTAGAAGCCAATTGAGGTTGATAATAGCAGGCAGACCCCCAAACCAGGGAAAAGTAGTTTCATAGGTACTTACGGTTTCCATCCACTTTGAAGCAGCCTCCACTTCAGTACCTTCATCATCTTCATTGGCACTACTTGATGGACCAACACCACCTAGAGCTGCCAAGGCTGTACCTCCGAGGGATAGTCCTGTACCCGCCTGAATCTTAACTGCTGCAGCTGTTGCACCTTCAACCATCTCAAAGCTCCATTTTTTAACACTTTCGTCCACTACTAGTGTTTCCTCCATAGTGGCGCCTGCCTCAATGACTCCTTTGTGCAACGCAAACAGGTGTTCGAGGTTGCTAGCCACAACGCACATCAGGTTTCCAACCCCTTCTCGAACCTGATACACAGCAAGTTAGACCATGGTAAAAAAACATAAGAAAAAGGAAAAAAAAAAAAAGAAAAAAAAAAAGGAAAAAAGATACAGATAGTGCTGGATTTATTATCTCTACACGCAAAAAATAGAAGTTGGAAGAAGTTCCATAAACTATCTTAAGCATAATATCAATGAATCAATGACCCGAAATAGGTCATGTACTCGCAACGCTTGTTGTAATAGCTACAACATGCTGACGTTTAAGAAAGGAACTACACCTGAGCTGCTGGATGGGTCATGCACGACATTAACTCGGAAAGAATAGTTGACTGATAAAGCACGTTACTAGTAGACCATGAGGCTGATGATACTTCAACAAGTGCTGCTCGCAAAAACATCAGGCGTTTGGTAACTAAGCTAGTCGATGCCGAGGATTGTGCCAGCGGTTCGACTAAACTTTCCAAAACCTGAGAGCGCAGCAGAGGAGCATTTCGGCCCAAGCGCCCCTTTCCAGTCACAGCAAAACGTACACATGCAGCCCATTCTGGCGCAGACTCCACTGTAGACTGCAAGAGCGCCTTTCGCAGAAGTGGGCGAATCCATACTGACCACGCATCCAGCACAGATTGGACATCCGAATGTAGCACACCAGCAACTAATTCTGCAGCAACGCACTGCTTCCCTCGCTCCTCTATTGACTGAACAGCCACTTCAAGAGGTCCACGAACTGCGATCAACACAGTTTCTCCACCTTCTTGAACCAAACGTTTAAAAAACTTTGCATGGTTTGAGGAGAACGCTTCACCACTCATGCCAGCATTCCAAGTCCTTGTCCGAGGCCATTCTCGAACAAATGATGGCAGCAGAGCTGTTAACCCCAGTTCTGGCATGGATAGTAGCATTGATCTGGAGCTTCTTCCTGACTCTCCCGCAAATATATGATCAAAACCAAGGTTATTTACCACTGTTTCGGCGTACTTTTCCTCTTGGAATATAGTTGCAACACTCTGCTTAGCCAATTGCAGTGCTGCTCTATGCTTAGGAGGCCCCTGTGCTGCAGGCACTTTGTAAGGACCAGGTTGTAGGAGCAGCAATAATGCTGCTACTGACAAAGGTCGAAGAGGTGGAAGTTCACTTTTAAGATTATTAAGAAATTGACCTGCAATATAACACAAAAGTCTAAGTTCACTATGTACCAAAAATAAAAGCGGCGGATAAAGTTCTAAAATTTCACAGTATTTTTCATACTCTTTTAATAAATCAGATTACACTTTTATTAGTGGTGATTGTTGACCAAGTTTTTTACATTTTCACAGCATTTTTCATACTCTTTTAATAAAAGGGTAATTAATAAAAGCGGCGGATAAAGTTCTTAAATCTCAGCCTCAATTGAAATGCGAACTCAGCAATTACCCTTTTATTAAAAGAGTATGAAAAATCATAAGCAAAATCAAAATCAAAATAGTGTAGAATTTGTCAAGATTAAGAATACCAGTGATAAGTTGTCTTGTTTCCAAAGCTGTATTTGATGGCTCGAATGAGTCTGTAGATGATTGGCCAGGTGCCGCCAGCAGTAGCAGCATAGCTTGGGCCATGATGGTATATCTATATACAAACGCTGGATTAGACGAAGTTGTAATGACCTAAAAAATTACAAGAAATGCACAAAAGATTATGGAGCAGTAATAAACACACGTAGGCAATACAAATAGCAAAATGGGCTTCAGAATAACAAAATACCTCCAGTGCATATTCCCAGCTCCATCTCCAAGACTTTTGATATGTGACACGAAATCAGCAAGGGATACATCCCCAGTATTCCCTTTTTGAGATGACCAAGCACGTGCAGGGAGGCCCCCAAATCGCACATTGAAAACAATAAAAATCTGTCATGTTTAAAAAAGTTGTCGAACTGTAATTAATACCATTAAATATGGACTCAAACCAGATCTATAGAGAACTCTGACCTCGGTAATTTCATTACATCTATTTGAAGTGAGTCAACTTGCCTCATTGATGGCGGCTTGAGCTTTGACAGAATCATGATGGGAACTGTTTCGAGCACCACAAGTTCACAATGTTAAATTCCGGCACCAAAGTCCCAAGAAAATATCGCACCCGGAATCTATTACATAATATGAAAATTAAACAATCAACCAAGACTAGTTAGCACCAGCACACCTGTTAAGAATAGCCATCAAGAATTCAACCAAGTCGTTCCAATCCTGCGCGACAAACAAGCGTATTAAAATACAAATAACCCATTAAGAAAAGGTGCACGAACATAATGGAGCACCCAAGTTCTTGAATTTTACATAAATAGAAAAAATATGCAATATAAAATCATGTCACCTGCATCAAATGTCTGATTATGGATCTAGATGATAAGATCTGGCAAGCTCCCAAAGCAGAATCCTCAATGGCTGCAGGATCTTGCAGACTCGAAGTTAGCATTGGCATGCACTCCTTTACTAAACTGGGAAAGCGCTTCATCACCTTCAACAGTGACCCTGCCGCGGCGCTGGAACATAACAAAATCATTTGAGAGCACATCTCCAAAAGGAACTTAGAATTATCATTGTAATAAATTGTCAAGCACACCGTTCAATTGTCTTAAGAGTAAAGGAAAGTGATAAATGATTACGTTCTGACTGCATCATAGCGATGCAATGACAATCGGAGAAGGTCATTCGTCAAAGCCGTAACATGAGAAGGAACAATATGAGTTGTAGTGTCACGACTGTAATGTCGGTAACCAGCTTGTGAAGCCCTCAATGCACTCTGTGCATATACTATTTCCACCACCAACCAGCGTGGCCTGCAAGCCATTTCAATGCAAATGTTTAGATTAGTTGCGCCACCTGATGAACACATAAAAGGTGGTGAGGATTAATTGTGAGGCTCTGAGGGCCAAATCCTGTAATCTACCTGCGCTTGCCCTTGCCATCAGCATTCGTTATATAATTAACTTTTGGTTCAGAAAATCTCTTTGATACTGAGCGCCACAACTGTCGCTCTTGCGACCAGTGACCGTATTCGCTCCAACCTACACCATTCCACCCAAATGCCTCTTTCAATCTGACATTGCTTACGATTAATAGCCCAACCAAGTGAAATTACCATGACAGTTGGAAATAAACCAACGATCATTTGACGTTTTCACCATTAAAACTTCCTCTCAAACTTCCTTCTTAGACCCAATTCCGATATAATATATATATAAGTAATACACATTGCATGAATTGAGTTAGTAACAATTCAATATGATTAAGTTGTACATGAAAATTTACCAAAGTTGACCACGGTGTCTATAATTCGAACCAGCAACATAAGCAAAGCAGTATCATCGGCTCTCTTCTCGAACAAGTACCTGCATACAAACAAAGAAATATGATCAGTAAGAGAATCAACATGCTTCTGAGAACAACACTTAGATTCCAAATCAACACCAATATGCGAACCTCCGGCAAAGCATCCAACCCACTACATCAAATCAGTTGCAAAAATTACATGAATACTGTGTGCAGCGTGTCAGCTGCATCTTCTCGTAATGCTCTGCTTCCAACAGAAGCACCAGCAGCCCCTGCCACTGTCAAAGAGCGACCCTTTTCATCCTCTGAAAGTAATTGAAAGTCAGGCAAGCTTGACTGTACGCCATGTAGTGAAGCATCCACTCGAAGTAGAAGAACACGCAATTGCTCTTTGATCTGACCTGTTGATGCAAAACACGACAATGACTTCAATTATACTGAACTTGTTTCCACTTATATTGTATGAAACCAACAAAGAAACACTAAGGAACATACCTGGATTTTCTTCCAGTTTCTTTTCTTGGCAAATGAAGCGAAGGTCTGCCAATGACCTCTCCAGATGCAAATTGAGCAACTGATTTGCAAACGACAGTTCAGCTGCTTCAGGAAGATGCCAAACTGGACACTCTAAAGTGTCCTTGTTACTCACCCAGTCCTCAACACCATCAATCCCAGTTATGATCCTGCATGAACAATTACATTCGCTATAGTATTAAAATAAAAGCCATTGATTCATATATCGATTATTAGCTGTGTGTTTTTGAGTCTAAGTTAAAAAAATTCTTAGAAAATAGAGTATGAATACGATGATTTGAAATCAAAATTACAACCAATTACAAGCATCATGCAGTCTGACATCACAGTACGCACAAAAACCTCTCCAACTAGTAATCGACTAAAGACGGATGCCTCAAAAGTACCATTATGATTTCCCTAAAAAAAAGAAACAAAGGAAGCGGGGGAAAGGAAAAAAACTTACTTAAATTGATCAAGAGGATAAAATGAAACCATGCCTGAAAGCACACTTGTCAACACCCTGCCACCAGCCTCGTTGACCTTCAAGTGCAACCAAGAAAAATAAAATGAGCATAACCGACAGAGCCCACAGAACTACAAGGACTCAAAGTGTTCCCTTCGAAACTTTATGAAGCGCATCGCCTCAATTAGAAAAGAAAAAGTTAACGCGCCAAATTAAACCACATGACGAGACAAAATAGCTGTAACACAGTGAAAAAGCCTTTTAAGCGGAAATAACTATTCCGTTGTCATTCAAAATAATCACCGACAAACCTAGTCATAACTTCAGGATGTATTAAATCCAAGGACAGTATCATTACCTTCTTGGATGGAGCATCGAAGGCAGCCGAAATAAGTTCAATGAGCAGATCATTGTACCGAAGAAGCACAGCACCACTAAAAGTTAAAGCAATCCCTAAGACATTGAGCTGGTAACGAACCGATAACTCCAATCCTGGTGATAGTCCCACCTGTAAAACCCACGCAAACATGATAACCAGGCCATATATTAGAGGGTATACAAATCAAAATATGGAGCTAACTAATAGTAAGTGATCGTGACACAAAGTAAAAAGCATCTAATATCACAAAATATAGGGGAAATACTGAGAATCACAAGGTACTTAGCAATATCACATGCACATAATCATATCAAATAAGCTGAATGTGTGAATAAGCCCAACATGAAAACCTGTCCATGAGTGGAATCCCATCGAAGAGGTCACAAAGTTCAGAATAAAGGATTTGTGAGTGTTTGGCAACCTTAAATTCCGCTGAAGAACCTCGAGACCCGTGTCCACTGAATCCTGTCGAGGGTGTATCAGCCAAAGCTGAAAGCACTGAATTTATTAGAGGTTCTAGCAACTGTGGCACGGCGTATTGTGGATTTGCATAGACAGCAGCTGAGCATAAAAACCCAATTTCTGCTACAGCACCAGGCAGCACTTGTCCATGAAGGAACTCGGCTACCTTGCGTACAGCCTGTAGCCGAAAACAAAACTCTTCGAAGTCAGTAGTTGCTGTTGGATATATAATATAGCTTCAATAGACTACGAAAATGAGGTAATTGAAAATTAACTATCAAAACCATACCTGCTGGTACAGAGATTTTGTTAATCTTCCAAAAAGCAGCTCAAGCACATGACGGTAATATGAATCTCCTTCCAACAGGAAAGTTTTTGAAGAAAGTTGAGAACTGTCCTCGATCTCCGGCCCTCTACATCCAAGTTCACAAAGCCCTGTTTCAGATGATATGTCCGAAGAAGTGTGGACAAGGAACAGCACTAGGAAAGCAACATAATCCCAATGCTGAGTCAGATTGACCAGCACGTAGATATGATTCATCATGCAGTTCATGAACCATGCTAAAAACTGTAAATACATTCAACATATACATTCTTCAATTGAGAAACGACCTACACTGGATCATCCACACATGTTCAAGAATGCACAAATTAATAGACAGCATGGATCAGAAAACAAAAACTACCAAGGGATGGACGTCAGAGCTAGTGTTACAGAACATGGCAAATCTCAGATTGAAAAACTTACGATTGGTTACTTGGCTCCAGGTGCATCAAGAGAGTAAAAAGACGAGAGAGAAATTCGTTCAGCCATTGAGACCAATCCAATGACAAAGCAGTAGATCCCCCATCTGACTCATCTCCCAATGCGCCAATCTGTTTGTAAACCACTATTACTTGTGGAACTCATCGGAGCAAAGAACTCAATTTATATAATACATAGTATCTAAAATATTCGACCGATATGCAAGTTGAAGTATAGATAACGACGGAATGAAGACTCACGCTTGAGAGAACTGAACAATAAAATTGCATAGTAGCCAGGGTTTTAGGTGGATCATTTGCATCCAACCCCATTAACGTGCTGAACATCGCCATCACAAGTGTATCTTTCAAAGTTGTGGCAGACTCGGTATCCAACATGTGAGAGTGCTCAGTACCCTCTTCTTTTGCTGATGCCAGTATAATGGCTCGAGATACAAGAGCTAAACTCGTCACTGCCGTTTGCAACTGATGCGTTGCAGTTATCTGCAAAGATCACAAATCAAAAAATCGTCCTAGTAAACCTCTTCAAAATTCACTAACATTTGTTTTCAGTGTGTACGATTTGCCAGACAAGTTTTATAACATGTAAACAATCAGAAGTTCTCTGGGAGTTCGCTAGAAGTGCCATGGGATTGATAACAAATCACTTTCGAAGTGCAGAATCCGACTCACTGTGTCCATTGCCGAGTAAAAACGTGACACTATAAGAGGCAAGACCGCATATGGCTCTATGAATGCCAAGGTTGAAGCAGTACTGGCCGCCGTAGAAGCCAGAGCAGGAGTTTTGCTGTACTGACCCCTATCAATCAGCCGCAACATTGCCTTCACAAAAGTGGATCTCTCCATCTCCCCCAACTGATTTATGCTCCCTCTGCTCCTTCATATTCCATACAAATATCTCGATGAGAAAAGAATCAGTATTTTCATTACACAGATGAACTTTAGATTTAAGATAGATAACTCACTAACCGTTGTTTTGAGAGACGCTTCAGAAAATATCGCACAAGGTGCTGCAAAAATTGCTCCAGAGAAGATGTCCAATGACCACCATTAGATGGATGAAAGTATCTGCAATAAGAAACGTTCCTGGGTCATACATCGAATATCGTAGCCATATATCAACCTACACGTAAGAATTGAAAGGAAATTGCAATTAGCAGCTACCATAGTTATTCAATCAGATAGGGTACAGGACGGAACTGTTCAAGAAGATCGACCAAAACGTCAAGTGACGGCAATGCTGCACCATTTGGCTTGATCAGATAAACCTACACAAATGACAATCAATCCAAGACAATTTACTAGGAGGCACTGGTATTTCCATTCAAGATTGTCCATGAAGGTCATTGAGAAATACTTTAAAAATAACGATTACAAGTACACTACCACGCACTACAAAAGCATAAAGAAAGATCACTTATGTGACTACAGACATAGATGAAGTGCACATTCTTACCATTGACTTGGCATGAACTTTGGAAGCGGAAAATGACCAGCCCTGGTTAAATGCAACCATAACCTCTCTGGGTATTTCCCTTTGAATTGGTGATGACGCACTAGCTCGACCCACAGGCACCTGAAAGTACAATACAAAAAGAGTCCCAAAACTTCAGATTTAAGCATGACTTCGACGAGAATTTCTTCGAACTTATATCTGAAATGCCCTACTCCCACAAAGCTAAATAACCACGGTTTTCAGCAATTACAGCAATAGCATAGTATACCAGGTGGTATGAACACAGCTGAACCTACCTCGAAAGACTGCAAGTAGAATGTGAACAAAGTAGGCACAAAGTCCTCCCAATGATCAAAAGTGTCGTGCGAATGCTTTAAAACTCGACTCATAAGAGTAGCCCACTGAAAAGTCCAAAAACGACAGTTTGGCATTGCCGCCCATATACGCATGACCTCAATAAGCCAATCTCTGTCATAGCATAGTGTATTGTTCAATCAGTGACCCACAGGCGCATTAACTCAAATATAATGACCGAGGTGTAATAATCACAATAACAACACCATGCCATTTGTTGCAGCAACATTGCTCTACCTCGTTAAAAAGCTCGACGTTGCATCACGACCGTCAAGATTACTGGGAAGAAACAGGCAAGTAAAACCAGCAGCCTCCAAAGCAGAATTGTGTGAAAGGTCGTCAAATGCAGGTCTGTAAGAAAGAAATTCCTCAGTATATTCATTTGGGTTACTACTCCATTATATACGTTGTTTAAATGAAACCAAGTCACATTATAAAATAATCCATGATCAGAAAGAGGGGATAAATGAAAGGATTAATACCTGAATTCATTCCAAATCTCAACAGCAGCAGTAGAGGGGAAAAAACGGCGACAACGCCGAATGAGTGATGTGATCTGCTCAAGATGAATTTGCTTCAATGCTAACCCTTCATAACTTTGACGCCTGATCAAAAGCATGCAGTCATCATTGATACCATCCGTTTTACAATCATGGAACAAACTTGCAAAAATTCTAAAACATCTGGATTCCAAAATCGATTCTTGCAAATACATTCTAGATGTTCAATCATATGACAAAATGAGTGTCCATTGCTCAACAAAACCTCAAAATCTGCTGCACTACCTTTTGAAGTGAGTCTCAGACACAATTTTGTACAGCGGACGCCATTCCACTGTCAGGTTCAATTTGCTACGAAACTTCTTGAGGATCTTTGATAGAAGTTGAGCCCATCGAATCTGAAATGTTTCGATGATAGTTATGAAAATAAAGTTGAACTAAATGTTCAAGTCAAATATAATTCAAGAATAATAATAACTTCCCATAACTTGAGCATCACCATGAACCAAAAAACACAGACCTGGATAAACAGATTATCTGATGTTTGCAAGATGACATCCAGTCCTATTCGCACTACAGTCTCAAGATCTGCAAAAGCGACTGGTGCTTTCGCTCTCAAATATCTGTAGTACAAAATCTGGTAAGAAAACTCAAGCACCTCACTGACGAACATATCTAACGCTTACACTGTGATCTTACATCATTAAATCAATCAAACCGTCTAGAGCAACCTCAACTTCATTTACTAATAGAACTAAAGAAAAGGCATAGGTAAAACCCATTCATAAAAAAAGCAGTAGTATGTCAAGTGAATGACAACCATGGTATTTGGCCCTCACGGGAGATCAGTTCTAGATGCAAACTTCAGCTATCTCTAACAACCTTACACAATAACTACGATATAACGTAGCTGGCTAAAATAACCGGTGATTTTCAACTGGTTTTTCTTCTTGCATTGAAATATCCTTCAAGAATAGTATGACATGAACAAAAAAGTATGAGAATAAACTACAAAAATCTGCAACTTTTGCAACGATGTGACTTTACAGCTTCAGTGCACAGATGTTCGCACAAGAACGACAACTCACGTGGATATGAGGGAAATCCACTTTAATGCGGAATATTTCGTTTCCGGATTCTGGTCCTTCCATGTAGACTGCAGCAAGCCAACTACATCATTGAACCTTCGTGTTTCGGTCTTTATCTCCTCAGATACGGGAAGCCATGAGTTGCAGATGTGTCCAACCAAGGTACCACTTTCGTCGTGCTCCATCTGCACATCCATAGGCTGCACTCTTGCACTGTTACTAAAGTATCAGTGCAAGTTTTTAAAAGATTCAACACGTCCATAGTTTTGCTGACTATATACAAAGTACGAATCAGAACTCAAATTGGCTTATTAATTGGCCTCTAATTCAAAGACGACGGTATGCAGCATGAAGTTGCGTCAATGTCTTCGAACCAACGATCCTCTCAATTTTGCAAGAAAACGGTAGAAATTAAGCACTGAGACAGTTTCGAAGTCTTTGAAATGAACGACACATAAAGAACATGGTCACAGGCAAGGGTAGACAAGAACATGAGGTGGTGCAACAACATTGCTAATACATACTGACAACCCCGTACGTCATCCTTTCTTCAGCCTAATCCCGACGCTATGTCAACTAGCTGAGCAAATTCGAGTAAATACGGAATGTCGGTACTATCGTTCACAGCAACATGACAAGGGAAGTCTAGTGAAGTAATCCTACTCAAGGACTTTGTACATGTATAAGTCAACATATATTCGATACTATTGACTGTTGACAGGGCTCGCTGCATGGCAGCGTTTCCTGATAGGAGATATGAATTCATAAAGCGACCAATGAAAAATTTACTATATAGAATCCACGAGTTCAACCTCTTTAAAGATGTGATTGACACGGAACAAGAGAAAAACCCTAAAGAGCTTCTACACTACAATTTGATTCAGCAATACTTATTAAGTAAATGTACTAAACGAAATCGAAGAGGAAATGTTCAATTCATTGCAAGGTTACGGAGAAATGCAAAAATCGATCAAAGATTGATGAGGAACACTGTGAGTTACCTGTAAACAGTGAATTGTACTCGCGAGCCGAATGAGAGTGCAACTGCTGTAGCGTGCTGAGAAGAGACCTAACCGGAAAAAAATGGAAACCTTCAAAGAGGTAGTAACGTCAGTTCTGTGATGCTCCTACACGATTTACACCATTCAATCTTCTTACACTTAAGAGCAGCGAGGATAATGCCTTGCCTCCCTACCGCTGACAGCTTCAGATGTGGAGCAATGAGCACCTCCAAGAACGCGGTTACGGAACGAAATGCGTCTCTCACCCCTGCTACTCGTGGTTATTAGTAGAAGCTTAATCTCTATTCAACATATTAGTGGAGTGAAGGTATCAAAGGGAGGGAGAAGGGGAAGGTCGGTGTCAATTACGGACCTCTAGAGGATCCCGAACCTTCACCCGCACGCCCGCCCCTCCGAGCATACACCGATTAATCAATTTCCAGTTAACAGTGCCACGACGGGATCAGCGGCTAACGTGCGGAGCACGACAGGAGAACGCCAGCAGCGTGAGCGAGAAATTCCATAGTCATTGAGGATTGGAGAATCGAAGTGGGAGGGGGAATGATGAGGGCTGGAAACAGAATCGTGGAGAACAAGGAAAGAGCGTGAGGAAGCCTGGACGTAGGGGGTGGTGCAGGAACTCACTCACTCACTCACTCGAAGGAACGAATGGGAGGAATCGCGGTGGAGAGTTGAGTGCCGGGAACATGGGAAGTTCCAAATGATCTCTCCCTGCTTCCCTCCCCCGCGTGCTTCCTTCGTCTTCGTCGTCCACTGGTGGCGGCTTGGGCTTGTCCGGGAGGACTCGTGATCAAAAGTGTTTTGTTGTAGCCAGTGAGAGCTTGACAATTGGAAAGTCCAATCAGTAATTGCCAAATGGAATATGAAAATGAATGTGGGAGCAACCATCACCGTGAATGTCCATTCCGGCAGCTCCCAATTCCCTTCACCGTGCCGCTCAGTTCCCTCCCCTAATTGCCAATAAAAACCCTAATTATCCTCTCCCTATCAGTTATTTGCTACTTCCATGATTCTCGTGCAAATTTGCATTCTCTTCAGAGGAAACAAGCTCTTTCTTGTATGCTATTAGGGTATCTCACAAAAGATATTGTCATCCTTCAACTTACACAAAACAAAGTCCATCATAAAATTATTTTTAATTAAATCTCTCAACTATGAAGACTTATCATATATCTAAAGAATACATTTTTTTTTTTTAGAAATTATATAGTAGGATTTTACAATGTTATTATTGCAATTGTAGTCATCATGGTTACACTCAAATATTACATCTAGTATTTAAAATTATTCTCTAAGATATATATATATACATATATATATATATATACAAATATTCAAATATTATAACTTCTAATAATTTAAAATGTATCAATTTTTTATTTACATATAAAAAAAAATCTTATGGTTTTTCTATTTGATAGTTAAATTTATCTTTCCTCTTGCTAATATTACTGCAAAATTTTACAAATTCTTATCCATCATCAATTTTACAAACACTATATATATACATTGTGTATACACCAACTTAATGGCCAATCAAGTCACTTTTGTTTATATATATGTATGTATGTATGTATGTATGTATGTATATTATATATAAGAATAGAAGACCCTTGAAATATATTATAAATAACATATTAAAATAAATCATTGAAGTATAATAAAAAGTAATACAATCTAGATGGATCAATGGACATGTAATGGATCTATGAAAATTTGGGTGAATGAATATAAGCTTATATAAATATTTTTATTTAATAATAATAATAATAAATATATAAGAATTATATTCACATCAATAATTTAAAATATTAAATTATATAAACTTAAGAATAAAACTTATAAAAATATATTTTCAATTTCATATTGCTTGTTATGAACATTTGCAAATCAGAGACTGGAAGACCAGACAAATTTGTCCTTTGACTTTGGCCAAATTGGTAGAATTTGCAATGCCACTTTATCATAAGTTCTTCTTTGCGATTTTGATTTCCAATACTTACTATAATCTTTAGACACATTTTACATGTTTCTTGCAATAGTAAAGTTTGTTTTAAGCTATTGTTGTAATATATATATTTTAAAAAGTCATTAAATGAACAAAAATTCACAAAAAAAAAAAACTTTAGCAAAGAAATAACAACATCTATAATAAACTAAGCAAAACAATAAAGCAATGAAATAAATAAATAAGATGATTTTATTTACTTATAAGTGTAATAATAATAAAGAAAAAATATTTAAAGATAAAATTAGAAAAACAAAGGTAGAAGCAACAAGATGATTTTTTTGTTAAAAAATAACATAAAAATCAACAAAATCAGCAAAGCAAAAAAAATAACAAGAAGTGAAAACAAAGATAGTCTCAAGGATATGAATCTTTAAAAAACAAAATCCGTAATTGTCACGGCCATAATCATGTAAGCTAATAATTACATATAGAAATACGTAGAAGTAAGTAAAAGTAGATAAAAGTAAGTTAATTCTATAATATTTAATAGAAAATCTTCCTAGAAATTTCATAGACGCTGCTTTGACTTCATAGGTGTCTTTAATTAACTTTTTGGATTAGAAACGTGGTCAACAAGTTGGCCATGTACCACACATGTTGTTAGCTTGAAGATCAAGCTAACTATGTGGCCCACACGTAGAAAAACTTACCTTCTAAGTCAAGGCATGTGTCCTACAAAGTCAACACATACTGGAGGTCCAATAGAACGTCGCCACGTAGCCCCTAGTTAGATAGTATATATAGAGACAAGAGTGAAGCCTTCTTCACTCTTGTCAACTCCTTTCTTGCTTCCAATCTAGTTTCAAGGGTCTCTAATTTTCTTGTCTTTTGGCAATAGCCATTCCAGTTTCTCTTTCAATATATATACTTGTTTATTTATATTTTGTAACCTCTCTTTGAGTGAAAGCTCATTTGTCTGAATTGTATATTCATCGAGTTCTTATCCTTGACAGATTGACAAGAATACACCTACAATATCAAAGCATTGTGTAATCTTGATTAAGAGTGGATTATCCCTTTTTTCTTGATAAGATATAAGCGTATTAGAAGTTGCGGATTACCCTCTTCTAAACTGATATTGTCCTTAGTATTTTCTTTCTTCTCAAGTCCTCTCTTCTATTTGTCTTGAGCGATATTAGACATCTTCCCTCTTCTAAGTGTTATCATGGCAGAACTTCTTGAAATGAAGAGTGCAATGGCACAAATGCAAGAGCAATTGAGAGAATTAATGCTTGCAATGCATCAACTCAATTTATCGCCACAAGGAGGAATAAGATTGGCAGGAAGTGAAGATATAGAAATGGTTGGAACTGCTTCAACATCTGCACCAAACCATGTCCTTTCTCCTATGGTGGAACGCCCTTCAAATGTTAGAGAACCAAGAATTACCCTACCCGAGAAGTTTGATGGTACTAGATCCAAGTTTCGAGGATTTATCAATCAAGTGCCAACTTGTACTTAAACTTCAACCCCAAAGCTATCCAACTCCAAGATCGCAAGTTAGATTCATTGGTACGCTTCTTTCAGATTCAGCACTATCGTGGTTTTTATCTTTTCTTGAACGACGAGATCCAATATTGGATAATCTAGAGGCTTTTTTGGCGGAGTTTCGATCCATGTATGGAGAACATGATGCAATTCGTGTTGCAACCAATAAGATCCGTATTTTACGACAAGGCAGTCGATCAGTAACGTTATATGCTTCACAATTTTGACAACTTACAACTGATATCAAGTCAGATAATGCTGCACTTATTAGCCAATTTCTCTACGGATTACAATATGAAGTAAAAAAATTAATGCTCAACTTACCTGATCCTCAAACATTGAGTCAAGCAATTGACTTTGCTGTGAAGTGCGACAATCACCTTTTTGAATTCCGATCTGAGAACCGTACAACTGGACCTCAACGTTACTATAATTCAATGGCAACACCAACACCTCTTCAACACATACATTCGAAAGTAGAGGATATGCAAATTGATGCAGTACGTTTCAAACCTCTTACTGAGCAAGAAAAGACTCGTCGTCAACAAGAAGGATTATGTTTATATTATGAAGAATCAAAGCACACTGCTCAACATTGTTCAAAGAAACGACGTAATCACAAAATGAAGAGTATGGCTGTGAAAGAAGACAATATGTCGAAAAACGAATTTGTCCAGCTACAATAGGAACCGTGCGGCTGGAACCTTGCACAACATCTAGTAAAGGTCCTATTCTCTCCTCAGAGCCCTCTCCTTGTTTTACATTAAATGTTATTTTAGGACCTAAACATTACAAAGTCTCTGCCTTGTTAGATTCAAGAGCCTCAACGTATTTTTTAGATGAAGAATTTACTAAAAGACATAACATATCTTTAGTAAAGAAAACTAAACCTGTTCATGTAGAAGTCATAGATGGTCGTCCATTGTCTTCTGGAGATATTACTCACAAAATCCTTCCTATAGAAGTAATAATCAATGGTCATAATAGTTTTGTAGTATTTAATATCATTAGATCTCCCTCTAATCCAGTCATTTTAGGTTTATCGTGGTTAGAAAAATACAACCCTCAAATAGATTGGATTTTCCGAACTCTTACTTTCTCTAAAAGTATAACTAACAGTGTAGTTAATCAAGTAGAGAGTCATAAGTCCAGTTCAATTAAACCCGTATTTATAGGTGTAATGCATGCTGCTATGAAAGAATCACCATATATTATTTATGCCACAACCGTTTCTACTGGTGAAAACGCTTCAAGTGGCATTCCAAGCCAATATCAAGAATTTCAAGATGTATTCGAAAAAAAAATAGCGGATACACTCCTGGAACATCGTCCCTATGATTGCTCAATTGACCTTCAAGAAGGAGTACAACTGCCATTCAGACCAATTTACAATTTATCACAAAATGAGTTAGCTGAACTCAAGGAGTATATTGAAGAAAATCTAGCCAAGAATTTCATACACCATTCTAAATCTCCAACATGAGCTCCAATTCTATTTGTGAAGAAAAAAGATGGATCATTGCGGATGTGTATTGATTATCGAGGACTCAACAAGATTACCATTAAAAACAGGTATCCACTACCTTTAATATCCAGACTTCTTGATCAGCTGAATGAAGCTAAGATCTATACAAAAATAGATCTTCAGGGAGCATACAATCTAGTACGCATCAAAGAAGGAGATGAATGGAAGACTGCATTTCGAACTAGGTATGGACATTTTGAATACAACGTCATGCCTTTTGGACTTACAAATGCACCAGCAGCTTTTAAACATCTAATGAATGATGTTTTCTGAGAGTTTTTGGACGATTTTGTGGTATGTTATCTAGACGACATCTTGATCTATTCTAAGAATCCAAAAGAACATGAACTTCATGTTCGTCGTGTGTTACAAAAATTAAGAGATGCAGGATTCTATGCCAAGATAAAAAAGTGTATATTCCACACTACTCAAGTCGATTTCTTAGGTTACATCATTTCAAATGATGGACTTATGATGGATCCTAAGAAAGTTCAAACTATTATAGATTGGAAGATCCCAAAAACGGTAAGAGATGTTCAATGTTTTTTGAGATTTGCCAACTACTATCGGATCTTCATCAAAGACTTCTCTCGAGTTGCAGCTCCACTTACACGTTTGACTTGTAAAGACAAAATCCAATGGAATCAAGAAGCGGAAGTTGCTTTTGAATCTTTGAAGACAACATTTGTTTCTGCACCAATC